AGCCAGGATCTGCTTACAGAAGAGCCTGTAAGCCTGTGCTGCTTTACTGCTGGTAGCACGGGGTGGTGGACTTGACCAGCCAGGGTTTGGCTTGAGTGGGGATGGGGTGGGGGGGGGTCTTCAAGGTGCCTCCGCCAAGCCTGGGCAAGCGTTTGCCTTCTCCCTGTCGTCTTCTTTTGGTGCAGGTCCAAAACCCCAGCTGGGGCATGTCTGCTTGCCCAGCTGACCTGTGCAGGAGTAAAGGCTGCAGGGCTTTTGTACCTCTTCACCTCCCCATGTCCCTCCTGCCATCTCAGATCTGAGATACTGCTGCGGAGCCTGCAAGGTGGAAAAATGCCCAAGACCGTTGCTGTCATACTGTCAGTGTGTGGCTATAGGTATAGTTTGGGACTTTTTTTTTTTAACCTTGCCCAGCATATGCCTGTTACCTCCTTCTCCGGTTCCCCCTGGCTGTTAGGGTATACCCGCCGCCTCCAATCCCTGTTCTTCTGTCCCAGCCTGTGCATGCTTCTACTTGCAACATATCACTTCTGCTTCCTTCTCCCCTGGAGATCTGCCAGGCCCTGAGCTCTATCAACTTTCCTGTTGCGAGCTGGCTTCCCTGTCGCACATGGTGCTGTGCCGGGATTTGCTGGCTCTGAGGCTGTAATCTTGAAAAGCAGTTTTTGGTTTTACAGGCTTTGCGGTGGCGCAGCCTCTTGCTGGGCGGCTGGCCCTGGGGCTGGCACCCCCAGATGGTGGGTGCTCCCCAGGCAGGCTGGGGATGGAGAAGAGGGTTGGGCTGGTGAGCCAAGGTCCTGGAGGAGGTACCTGCCCTGATGCCTTCTGCAGAGGCTTTGAATGTCTGGCCTCTTTTAAGCCTTTCTCTGCTTCTTCTGGTGGTGGTGATCTTCTCGTGCCGGGTCTCTCAGCCTCCATCAGACATACCCTTGAGCGGATTTGTGTTCCCTCCCTACCCTGTTTCTCCACTCTGGTGGTCATGCTCCAGTTTGGCATAAACATCATGCCATGCCCATCTGCTTCCCATGACCCTGTCCAAAGACACCGTGACCAATGCTTGCTCCTCTCTGGGGTCTCAGTTACCAGGTGGGGACAGGCTCTATAATCGGGGGTGTCCGGCCATCCTATGGTGACTTCTTTCCTCCCTTCAGCTGGCATGCTGGGCTCTGCCTGCGCTGTCCCAAGCTGAAGGGCACGTGTGGGTGCTGCCCTATGCATCGCCCTTCAGCCTGGTTCAGCCTGACTGCGTCCAAGCATATCAGCCTGGAGGGCCACCTTCATGTTTTGGGAAAGTGCACCAAAATAGTCTTGTGATGCTCAAACTCTGACTCTGAAGAGCTGGTGGGAGCTGCAAGTGGAGGGTGAGGAGGGGGCAACTTAAATCAGGTATGGAAAGGGCTGGTGTGGCTTGAGGTGGCCGTGAGGGTATGGCTCTTAGCCTGGAGGTCAATGTATTTCAAAAGCTGTCTTGGCTGAAGCTCAACTGGTGCTCACTCAAGTGTTTTGCTCAGTTTCTAAAAAAAAACAAACAAAAAACCCCCCACCCCCCAAAAAAAACAAAACAAAAGAAAACTGAGCTCCACATGGATCTGCAAGAGAAAATACAGTTGGTGCAACTGCAGAGCCCATCATGATATGGGGATGGGCAGGGCTTGCCCCTATTTTTCTGCTTGCTTGGGCTTGTGACAAGGGGAGCGATGAGATGGCACCTTACAAGCAAAGTAGAATTTCATCACCAAAATACCCCTGCACTGCTACAACTCCATCGAAACTGCAGTAGCTTTATTGTGGTGCTGCAAACGCTGAGCTGCTTAACATCGTGATCCCCTGGGCTTGCTCTGGAGCAACTGCTTTGGTCGGCGCTGCCCCACAGCCTGGCTTTGTCCCTGCCGGCACTGTGTGTCCCAGCCCCCTGTGACTTGCCTACCTCCACGGAGCGGTGGGTGGAGGGGCACCCTGTCCTGCGTGGCAGTTCAGGGCTTTTCCACGGCTGACCTGACACACCACGTGGCCAGAGGTTCTCCTGGTCCTGTGGTGGCTGTGGTGCTTTGCCGTCCTGGCTAGAAGTACCTTCCCTGAGGTGTCCCAGGGTGGTGATGGCTCATGGTGGTCCATGTAGAAGAGATGGTCTTCCCTTCTGCTGCTTGCGGATGGCTTAGTCCTGCCTGTAGCAGAGCTTAGGCACGACCTTCTGCCTCTCCCTGCTGGCTCCTGGCGCCTGATATGTTATCACATGTGAGAGATGGATATGGGGCTTGGTTAGTGTTTCTCCAGCCTCCTGGAGCCCCTGGGGAGCCCTTTTGCAGCCCAGGGATGCTCCCAAGCAGGTGCCCCAGCCATGGCTTTGCTGCCCCCACCTCGTTCCCCGGGAGCATCTTCAGTGTCGCATCCCGGCCATGGCTGCTGGAGCTTTCTGGCTTCCCAGCCTGGCTCCCACCCGGCCTCTCCCTCCCCAAGAGCCCAGGCAGACGTGTTGTCGGTGCCGGCTTGGCATCGGCACCAATCCGGTCAAGCTGTCCCTGGGCCATGGTGTCCTTCCCAGCGACAGCTCTTGCTGATGGATGGCTTTCGTGACTCGCCAGTGCCGTGTTCCCGGTTCGCCGTGTTCCCTCTGAAGGTGATTATTAACCCGCTTATCGCCGCAGCTCTTCACAACTTCCTCTTCCCGTGGGGACATCCATCCATCCATCCATCCATTCCAGATTAGCTCTGATATACAGGCTGTGCCCTTTCCCAGGTGACGTCTGTGCTGCCGCCTTCTCCTGCTCATCCCTGCCCGTGGGAAGCTCAAATCCTTTGACTGCGAGAGTCCGGCTGCTCCTTTCGGGGAGTCGATCTCCCCTCAGTGGAGACGGCGTCTGCTGGAAGATCCCGTCCGGCCCCGGGATGTGGCGAGTGGCTGCTTCTAGGAAATTCCCTGAGCCCTTTTTCTGCCAAACCCCGAAGTGACGCAGTGTTGCTGGGAGGAGAGGCACTTCCTCCTGTTTGCGAGCCCTGGGTTGGTCCTCGCCAGCAGCGGCATCGCTGCTGTGCCGGGGCTGGGCTATATCTCCCGGGCTGTCCTGTGCCCATTCCTCCTGCATCTGAAGAAGACTCCGGTGCTTTTGCATCTGCTGACCCTGCTGGTGCAAGCCCTTAGGCTGAGCTTAGCAGGACTGGGTGCCAAGCCGCCCTCCCAAGAGCTTAAAGCCTGTGCTGAGGCTGACTGCAAGCTTGAGGGTGGATCCTGACCTCCTCGAGCATCTCACCAGGCACTGGCCTTGTGCAGGGGAAGGTGGTTGGGCTCATTTCTGTCCTGGCTGCACCAGGGCCATGTGCAACGTAACGAGCTCCTGGTTTCGTTAGCCCCGCCAGTTGCAAGCAGCATCTGCTGCCCAGCTTTGGCGGGGGGCGGAGATAAGGCACCTGGGTGGCTGTTAGTGACAGTGACGGGGAGGGCTGCGGCTCCCCACGCTGAGTTATCTCGCGGCTGCTCTTGTGCCATTGGGTCTCCAATACTGATGCACTGGAGCCGGCGCCTGCTCCTGAGAAAGGGGCTTTAATTCAGGATCCTTGGGCTCATCCGCGCTGGCCTCGGGGCTCCTTGTCATCTCTGCCCGGCTGCTTCGGGTTGTCTAGGCAGAAAATCAGATTTTTTTTTTTTCCCCCTTCTCTTTGGTGTGTTAAGTGAAAGACAGCTTCCCGGGTGGAGGTGACGGCTTGTGAGGCTTCAGAAACACTTGGCTAATCCACTGTAACTCATACCATCTGGCCCTTGTCCCCGGCCTGGGGAGGGGGGGGCTGGTC